GTGCCCCCCCCCCCCCCCCCCAACTACATTTTCACCAATTTTTGGGAATATAGGTTGCGACATGAGTAATAAAAATTATGAAAGACATTGAGTGGGACGTACCTTCATATACCATAAAACATTACTACATGAAAGTATCACACGACCATAGGAATGTCTCATCGAAGGCTGCATACGAAATCCGAATCCGACCAGAAATAATAGTAAAGCTGTCGCAGTCAAGAGATTATAATATCTGAATTATGAAGAAAATTGAGTGATCGGGAATTTCCTAAGCAACTCATTCCAAGACGCTGTGTCGAGACGAAACACGGTATAGTTATGGCGTAATAAGAGCCCAAAGATTATCTCTATCGTATAACACACCCAGAAGTGGCCGTGTTCTCATGGCTTGGCGGAGGTTGCACCTTTCTCAATAGAGCACGTTTATTGACAATTCAAACAACTGATCGTCTGGAACCCTGGCGATAGTAGAAAGCAATGTTTGGCTTTCTTTGCTTGCTATAGCAAGATCCTTATGCAATTGCACATAACCTAAATTTTATCCGAATAACTTTTCAACACCACTTCCGTAGTCATAATCTCGTTTAACCTCCTACATTGACTGCATTTGAGAGACCTTATATTCCGCCAATTCCGCACTTTCCGCCTACTCCCAACCAAGACATTTACCTTGGAAAATACACTTCGGAAATGTGGGCCATGTCTTTGGAAGAGTGTGGAGCCTACTAATCTCACTGAACTACCTCGTAGAAGTTAAACCGAAAAGAGCCCCTACGGGAAAGCGAAGCATTCAGAAGGAGAGGCATTTTAAACCCTATTTTATTTATTTCCTCGTATAATACAACATGCACCAAAATCTCAACATCCATGGGATATAGCTCATCAGTTACTCTTGATTTACAGACGCTGAAGTACCCTACGTAGCAAAAGTGAATGACCGATCACTGGGAAAACTCTACCAGCACTGGGAGAATTCTACTTGCATAAATCTCATAACAATCAAGTAACAGAACATTTAAACATACTTTGTATAGAATACACGGCACTTTTCCCTGAGTTTAGGCGTTTCCTGGTCGAAAAGCTGGAAGAATTTAATCAGATCATATCAAATTCAATGATAGTAATTATTAGAATGATGAGAAAAGAAGGCAAAGCCGAATTCTAAAAGTTCCTTGAAAAAGGGGATAAAGTGACCGAACATGGGGATAAGGCTAGTGGAGATAGGCGATGCCCAAGACCGGGAATCCGAACCAACTCAAACCAACTGAACCTATAGGATACCGAAAAGTCCGCTGGTGTCATACTTTTCGATTAAGGTGGACAGTGTGCAAAGGTACCGCTACTGCGTGTTCCAACAGCCCCTTCCTTCCTACAGACGACAGCTAGCTGATTCTATCCTACCTTCTTCGGATTGAAACATCTGGTAGAACCTGACTTTGCTGATCCTTAGAGGTCATCAGAGGAGTGTAGACTAAATGCAACCTCACGTGTTCCACTATAGGAAGGCGCAAAAGCGCGGGAGCCTCGGGGAAGATGGGGATGGACTTTGAGGTGGTCACAATAGATTTCAATACATACCCAACAACCAGGAAAACTGGAAAACAAGTAAAAATAAGAGTAAGTGAGACATAATTGAGGGAATAAAAACAATAAACAAATGAGTGATTTAAAAAGAGTCAACAAACCTTACGAATATGTTCTACAGTATAGACGACAATGTACGCCAATGTGGCGTATTCGATATTGGTGGGATTGACGGGTGTTTCAATGAGAAGTACATAGGAAGATAACATCAGGAATATAGCGAATGCAATACACCATGACCAAAATTTCGTGATTGGAGCCGAGTAGAAGGCACGCATCTTGGCCAGCGCTGATAGCGACTAAAAAACACCTTAAGCTGTCGAGTATAAACGGTCGGAACAGAGAGAGCGAACCTCTTCTATGTACAGATCGTCTACTGGTGGATGGAGACCGCTACTCCTCTTAGACGACATCATCGTCACCTTCTTTGGAGCTCCGTTCTCTACTAGTTCCTCCAGTTCATCACTGGCAAGCACATTCTTCCTTCTGATAGAGGCTGTTTTGAATAACTGAAATGGTCCAAACAATATCACAAGAATTATGTCGCGTTTATACTCGGCGAACTTGCAGCGGTTGTTGACTGCATCACTAGAAGAGGAATACATGCCTCCAAACGGAAAAATATACCCGAAGAAATTGGGGGTTAGTAAGAAGCATTAGCCTCGAATGAAGTTAGCATCAGTGACGCGGTTACTACACAAGACGACGCGCGGGACTAATCGATAAGTATGTTTTACATTAGGAGCTTGTCGCAAGTTTGCTGAGTGTGAACACATTTCTATCAGTCTTGTTTTATCTATCTGACGTGCATTAGCGACTCGATTACTACACAGGACGACGCCCTGCACTAATCGATATGTATGTTCTACATTAGCAGCTAAGTGCAAGTTCGCTGAGTATAAACACATTTCTACCTGTCTTGTTTTATCTATCTGACAAATACCTTACCCTGTGCAAATGAAGTGACATCATGCTGCCAGCACTGTTCCCTTCCGGACGGTCCGTTCGGCATGTGCTCATCGTGTCGTACACGGTGCTCTAAAGTGGTTTATCTCGGACAACAGGCTGATAGCCGTAAAGGGAACCACCTCACCTCTTCAGAATGAATGTCCTGATCTCTTGACGGATTATGTGGTACCTTATATGCGAGAGCCAATGCAGCTGGTGGACAGATCAGCGCTGCAAGCACCCGAAGATTCGTCCCACTGGAACAACGTTTTCCACCGTCCCAGTATGATAATGTCTAGACTTGACCCACCCATATAAACACATACAGAAAGGACCGATACTTCATAATTATTCACGGATAGCCTTATGTGAAATCTTTTGATTTTGCGAACGCTGAGATGGAGGGTTTGATGTCCCAGGCGGGTTTTGATCGTGGATTCGATCCCCGGCCCATGTGCATGTAAGAGTCGCCACATTCCACTACCCCACCTCCACCCGAAAAGTGGATAGCTAGGTAGAACTGCTTAAATACAGGATCCAGCTTCGCCTTTCTGCCCACCCCCTACACCTTCCTCAAGCCCTGAGTCCCCGTCATAAATTCTTTGATTGACGTTTGTCCTCTAGGAGATATAAGTACAACACTGAGTAGATTCGAGGAAACGAGTCGGTAATGGGATGTTTCAGGGAAAGACATCTGGGCGGCTATTGATCACAAGTCCTAATAAATCCAAACTATTTTTGTATTTTAGACTGACCTGCGAACACGAAGAGATCCATGCCAAAGTTCAGCGAGTAACCGTTGGCAGCTGAAAAATAACCTTAAAATTCGACCAACGCTGGCTCTCTCCTTTACCCAAACGTGTGGGATGGATCAAGTAGGAAGTGGAAGAGAACAAAAGTTCAAACTGGTTCGCACCACAACCC